ACAATTGTACCCATGTCCTCACATAGAATGGAGTCATGTCATGAGTTTGAATGTGGTGAGCAGCCTCTTGTCAAAGTAACAAGAATGGCTTTATATACCTTTGTGGGGCTTCCCCGAACCCTCACAATGTGAGCACGCCAATGTCCACCAAGGTACCCTCAATGTTTTTTTTTAACATGGAAACTCGCTATAAAAATGAGATAGAAAATATTAGATTGCATCTAATAAATGCATAAGAAAATGCATATTTAAGCAGGTTATGAGTCAAAGTGGTCATTGACTCGTACAAACTTTGAAATAACTCATTTAGGTTATTAATTATTCGAATAAAAGATGAAATGAGATCCAACACAATGTAAATTGTTGGGTTTAGCATTGATAAATAGAAAAACAATATCAATTTTCTGAAGTACGAGAAGAAATATTTACCTTTCATTATGCCTTACTCATATAGTAGAAGACACGTCAGTCATTTCTTAAAGTTTACTCCTTAGCAAAAATAGAATCGAGACATGTCCACATATGCTAAGGAAATAACAATAAAGATATCTCATTTTTTCAATACAATGTGATATGTGACGACTCATCTACCAAAATGCGGGCCATTTAAGTGATTATGGTTTGGTAGAAATTTACTCATGTTGTCTATTTTCCTGTTGCATAAAAATGTTGCATTTGAAAAACTTCTAGCAAAACTTATTTATTAAGGGTCCACCACCCGACCAATCAAGTCTATATGACTTGTTACTGCTAGATAGTTCTCATCAAAAGTATTTGATGATTATTGCATATTTTTCGAGATCAATGAAAAACATCTCGCATCCCATGTGAAAAAAGAACTCCATAAAAATCGCATCTAAAAGAATGTTGATGGTGAATATTATATCTATTATTCGCGCACTGATATTTTTTTATGGGATTATGCAATATGCAAGCACTCTTACACATTTGTTTTTTTAAACCGATACTAGACAACCACGTTTATGTATACCAGTTGGTGACTGGATATTAGTCTGAGATGTTCTACTTATGAATATGTGGTTGTTAAATAGTTGTGCCTATTGCGTCTCCCACAACGCACTATAATCGGTTTTAAAAGAAAATGATGTTTATGTTGGATATGAATCCCCAACAATAATCCGCTACTAGCCTTAACAAATAATGTGTACACCGCTTTGCGGGATATGACTTTGATGAGACAATTGATTTTCCTGTCATTAGGGAGAGATTAGAGAAAAAACTCTAATTGAATGACGAAATCATTATGATGGTACATCACTACTTTGTCTCAATGATAAATCTTAGACTTCAAAATGTAACATTGAAGTTAAAGTGGTATCATAAATGATTTAAGTAATAAGATTATACACACTAGCTGCAAACATATTTATAAGGCTTGAATTTAAATTAAAAGAAACAATGCAAAATGAAGAAACATTGCAATCACAAGCAGTGGGGTTGTGGTTGAGACCGTGGCTCTCTAAAGGAATAGAGGGAAGCCACATGGTTAGATTAATTATCCACCCCAAGTAGTAGATGGTAGATAAGACACAAACCAATATACTCGTCATCATATAAATTCATCTCATGAGATTATCTCTGATTAAACATGTCCATGAATTTATAATGGGGGACACCCCGAAGTTTAAATGATTTCAGAGAATTAAAATCTCAATGTTAATGAGAGTGTGTATGAGTCGAATGATAGACCTTACACTTATATTGACGCTATATTTATACAGTTGCTCAAAGGAGCATAGATCACGATGATATCGAACCATACTCTATTGCAATATGAAAGCAATGAGAATATTGGCCTAAATGCGTACAAGTAATCGAGGTATAAATTTAATATTTGACAAAGAGACAGAGATTTGGTGTGATAGTGCAAATTAACCAAGTGTAAAGCCTGTAGGACATGAAATAATTCTTTGTTAGAAAGCGTACTGAGATAATGAGGTCCTAATTATTCTCACAACGTCCTGGATTCAAATATGAAAAGTTATACCTCTCTATTTTGAACACAAAAATGTTCAACTACTTGATCTATAAGTAGACTCCAAAATAATGGAGACGCAACTAAAGATTGTGGACATTAAATGTCTCAATAGAATTTCATTAAATAGATATATATGAAGTATTTGTTATGTTTTTATTATCTTTGAGCAAGTGGTTTTAAATTACATTTTATATTTACATTGAAACGTTCACATTTGGATTAAATCAATCCAGACGAGAGTGACATACCCATCTAAGTGACCACTTGACTGAAAAGGGATAGAAAAAGATAGATTATGTTTTCCCTCCAAGTATCATTATATGTCAAAGATATAGACATAGTATGTACTCATATTAAAGATAATGAGAAATCTTAGATACTTGGAAGTCATAATTGAGATAAAGGATCTTGGGAAACAGGTTGTTTTGAAAACACCGAGTTGGTTGAATAATAATTCACCGGTTGCATATATCCAAAAAGGTTCTTAGGCAAATTAGCATGGATAAATGTAAACCGTTAGCACTCCCATGATTGGTCGAAATATGGATGTTAGAAAATATATCCATTATTGGAAAGTTATTAGGAGAAGAAATTCCCTATAAAAGTGCAATATGCGCATGATTGTACTTTGACAAACACATTCGACCAAATAATACATTCTCAAGAACGTGTTAGCTGAAAATAACACATGACCAATACATAGTATATCATCATTGAAATAGTATCAAGAATGTACTTTGATATCTATATGAAACAATTGGTATAATCTTTATTCATCCCTTGTAAATTAATTAAATGATTGATGATAATAATATTTCTAAAGGAATTGGAAATGTTAAAAGTATCACTCTAACACAAAGTAACGTGATTTGAGTTTTACTGATGATGGATATCCCCTTACCTCATTGATACCCTTACCTCATTGATACTTTCTTATATGAAGATATATTTACCATGAAATAAACCAAGATGTTATATACGTAATACCTTGATAAAAGTATATATCAAGTACACATCGAATTTTTATTGATGTATTGCATTCAGGGGGATTCCTTACATACTTATTTATCATCAAGTATATTGGTGCGTTGTACTCTTTTTCCCTTTTGACCAAGTTTTATTTTTTTCCCATCGGGTTTTATTACTTGGTAAGGTTTTTAATGAGACAACATAATATGCACCATCCCACATTTTAATTTTACGAAAGTAAAACAATGTTGAAGAACGAACATAATTACTATATCGTAGTCTTAAGTAATTGATGCATAGTTATTAGTGCATCATACTTCCTTTTCACTTTGACCGATGTTTATTTTTCCCATTTGGTTTTGTTCATTGGCAGCGTTCTCGCAAGTTAATTTGAGAAAATTTCCTACGCTCGACACACATGGGGAGAATTAAAGGAATTATATTCCTCTATTGTGTGTCTTCGCTAAGGTAATTAATGTGACAAGTATTGAAATGCACATATTTTACAAACACACTTGATTAATGTAAATATCAAGGGTAGATGTAGACTTGAGGGGGAGTACCCCAACTAGATTACGTTACACTCTTTTCCTTTACCCAAGTTTTATTTTTTCCCACTGGGTTTTGTTACTTGGTAAGGTTTTTAATGAGGTAACGATACATATAAACTTTAATGATCAAAGCAAAGATCAAATAAAGATAGACTTAATGAAAGAAGCCTATCTTGATGCTACTACTTTTTCTCCAGTCAAGGTTATTTTTTCCCACAGAGTTTTGTTACTTGACAGAGTTTTGAAGAGGCAACAAGGCACATACAACATTCTATCTACAACTCAGCACAAGGAGGAGTGTTGAAGGAAATTCTATGTTGTGTGCTATCGTTTAGATAGAATATGTATTAGGGCCTTTTCTCTGTAAAATATGTATATGGGCCTATGGCCCGTACTTGTAAACCCTATTCTATCCCTATTTATAAGGGCTTTCGGTAATGAAACTCTACGAACAATTCTCCCTACAACATACTTCAATTTAAATTAGATCAAATTTTAGTCATCAAACAAAGTTTCCTGAAGTTCAACGTAATGGGGTTTGTACGTGATTTTGAGGGACTAGTTATACGTTCCAAATTAAATAAAAACTTTAGTTATTACGGAGTACAAAAACAAAGGGGGCAAGATGGTCTAACTATGGTTACATAAAGCATTTATGGGGGTGCGCCTAGCAACCCCCGATGGGAATTATCAGTAAATTACATGATATAACCGGCTGTACCGTGCGCATGGTACAACCGACCTTTTATTTCGCAAATCACAGGGCTTCCATCGCAAATAACAGGCTTCCATCGCACTTCACAGAGCTTCCATCGCAGTTCGTAGGCTTCCATCGCAGTTCGCAGATCGTTACTCGTCCTTCGCTCACCGCCTACGAGCGCAACTCCTCCTGATATATAGGCCTAGTTGATTCTTCTCCCTCTTTCTTGCTCTGGACTCTTCTTTTTTCTTTTTTTCTTACCCAAGTTTGGTGAGGGAGTTCGGACATTTATTATATGAGCATAACAAATGAAATTATGAGCATAGTAGACATTAAAATGAGTTTTTTGAATGCTCATTTCGTAATTAATGTATACTCATTTGATATTAGTGCAATACTCATTTTAAAATGTCATATTCATGCATATTTGAAAATGAGTTTTATGTTAAACTCAAATGATTATAAAGCTCAAAATGAATGAGCACACACAAATGAGTTTTTTAATATTTTGATACCCAATTTGTAAGTTATGTAAGATCATTTGGTATTATTTTATTCTCATTTTAAAAGGTTGCACATGTTAAACATATCATAGTCCATTAGATTCACATATTGAAATTAAATGAAATTGATTATAAACATAATTTAAGACAATAAACGAAAAAATAATAAACAAAATGTGATATATGAGAAATGAAACAGATATAAAAAAACATCTCGATGCTTATCAAAATTGATTCAATGCTCGTTTAAAGGATCCTTATTTTAGTAAAAATTACAGGTTCGCCCTCTGGCCATGGCACCGTACAGCCGTATACGCTTCCGGAATTATCGTCCCCACTGAAGTGCCCTCTTCACGTCTTCAATTTGGTTGTAGTTGAATACGTTTAGGGCTTGAGAATTTGAAACCCATCTCTGGTTTCAACCAACTTCCAAGCCTCATTTCAGTAAGTACTAATTCTCTTTAACCATCTGTACTAAAAATGCAATACCAACAAAAGCTGATAATACTATTTTTTTTTTGAAATTGTTGATTATTGATTTGGTATGTGAAATGCAGGGTAAGATAGATACAATTTCATGGGGCCGATTGATTTCTGCAACTCTTCATCAATTTACATTTCAAGGCCCAGAACCAGTTTACTTATTGAATCAAGTTGGAGGAGTAGGATCGCCTTCATGGCATCTTCTTCTGTTCCGGTCAAAGAGAAGAACCGGTCAATAGATGTTGTGGATGGGGCATCCTTTATCCGTCCCCATCTCAGAAATCTTAAACCTTATCAGCCCATCTTACCTTTTGAGGTAATTCGTGATGTACAGTTTCTCATTACATTATGTATTACCTTATGAATTTAGTTGAATTGAAAATGTTCCTTTGAAATTTTGTAATTTTCCTTACAAAAATAATTTAAAGTTCTAGACTGCTATTATGGGTAGTCAATCAATGAATATATATATATATATATATATATATATATATATATATATATATATATATATTCTTTTCAGTAGGTGTTCTTTATTTACAATTTAAACAGGTATTATCCGCTCGACTTGGCAGGAAGCCTGAGGACATTGTAAAGCTTGATGCAAATGAAAACCCATACGGTCCACCTCCCGATGTAAGTAATTACTATGTCTAGGTTATGCGGGTAAAGTTTTTAGAGTTTTCATAATTTTGGTTTGTCTAAGTTTACGAGCTTTTTTGTAGGTATTAACAGCTTTGGGGTCGTTAGAATATCCCTATATTTATCCTGACCCTGAAAGTCGTAGATTGCGCGCGGCACTTTCTGAGGATTCTGGACTTGATTCTGAGTATATTCTTGCAGGGTGCGGTGCAGATGAACTCATTGATTTGATAATGAGGTCAGTGTAAAACATGAGCCATATTTTATTTTATTAAGATAAAGAAAAAATAGAAACACTTTTTGTTGCTAGATGACCTTATTGTTATTATTCTTTTGAAGATGATTTGTACATAGTACAGGTGTGTATTAGATCCTGGAGATAAAATTGTTGACTGTCCACCAACATTTAGTATGTATGAATTTGATGCAGCTGTAAATGGTGCACATGTTATCAAGGGTAGGTACATGCATCCTTTTTATCCAAGTTAAACACATACATACCTCCCTAATTTTTTATGCCTCTCTTTGTCGAAGTCCTGAATTACTCACCCAATGATCACGTGAAAACTGAAACCCACACTTAGAAATATGCTGCCATTGCAAAAAACGTGCCTTTACATTGCATATCATTAGGTTTTAAAATACTTCCTCAGTCTTACAATAAGTGTTGTTTTGTTGGAAACAAATTTGTTCACAGTATGTGCTGACATTTTATAAACCAAGACATGAATTAATGCTATTTTTCCATTCTTTCCCTGTTTGAGTGCAAAAATGATCTTCAATGATAATAAAATGTTAGCAAGGGGTCATATCTTAAAGTTTTGATCAATTTAAGAATATTCCAAAGCAATTTCTTTTTTATCTACCCAATTTCTTCCAAAGCGACACTTATTGTGAACCTTAAGAAGTATATAACTTGTATATAACAACTAACAAAATTGATGGTTCCCCTACCTATTGTAATTTGTAAGATGAGAAGCCTTAATATTTTTCTATCACTTATATTGGTTTATTCATGACCTCCTATAAAAAAACTAATGTAGTTCTTAATATAATACTTGCAGTACCCAGACACACAGATTTTAGGTTGGATGTGGAAAGGATTGCTGAAGTTGTTGAGAAAGAAAAACCTAAATGCATATTTTTGACTTCCCCCAATAATCCAGATGGGAGGTGATCTTGCACGATCTTTACCAGTATTGTTTTGCATTTGCTGCTTTCACAACCTTTTATATGTTACAGTTGGGGTCATTTTTAATCCTAGTGCATTTCAATCATTTTCTGATATACTCTTGTGCTTGTCTGACTGGCAGGTCTAAGTTATCAATTTATTAGACAGCTATGATTTCCATTAGTATTCACAAACCTAGGACTGCCAACCCCAAAATCTTTTGGGAATAAGGCTTGGATGTTGTTGTTGTATTCACAAATCTAGGACTAAAAGAAACCTTGGACATAAAACTAGGTGACGCGACCAAAATACCCCCAACATCTCCCATGTTGCACCTGTCCTGTCCAATGCACTGACCATCCCACCATATAACACTTGCTCCAGCCTTCGATCACTGACCGCTTGATAGGAATGGGCCTATTATTGTAGATAATAATAAGTGGGCTTGTAATAGAAATAGAAGTACTATAAATAGTAAGGAAGGGGGGAGGATAGGGAGGCAAGTATTCTGTCGGACTTAGAACTGGGAGACTGGGCATCTCGAATCGTCCTAGGCTTTGTATACGTTTCATACTTTTCTTCTTCATCAATAAACTCTTCTTGATCTCTTTCTTAATCAATTCTTTTGGATTCTCTGCTGTTCTTGATATTATTTCCAGTAATCTAACATTGGTATCAAAACATTACGCTACTGATGACTGTAGCATTGATCGGAGGAGTTACATTGATTCCAGAAATTTCTCTTTTCAAATCGTGAATGGTTAGAACGAGAGGAAGAATGGAAAAGCGAATGGAATCGCTAGAGTGAAATCAACAGGAGATGAAGTCAACGCTGGATAATATCGCCAGACGGCTAGCAGCGATGAACGAACAACTCCAGACTAGAAGGCAATCGCGGACGTCAACAACTTCTTGCAGTTCGCAATCTTCATCGATAGCAGTTTCCAAAAGTTCATCATCGCGATCCGTTTCTCACAGTCGTCCGCAGAGGTCTTCTCAATCCTCGTCGTCTCACAGTTCGCAGATGCGAACAAATTCTTCCAGATTGTCGCTAACTGAGCAGTTTTCTTCTCAATCGCCAGAAACTTCTTCCAGTTCTCTATCGAAACTTGTTCCTCATAGATCGTCATCGCGAGAGGTTATTTCCGGTTCGCAACTCAGTCCGAAGATGTTTCCATCTGCTATCCACTCGCGTCAGAAAGCGACGCTACCGAGAGAATTTTATTCTTCGCAAATCTTGTCGCCAGACAGTTATCTCCCTGCGCAAGTTTTGTCCCAAGAGGTTTATCCCCCTGCGAAAATTTCTTCTTCTTCGAGAGCCATTTAAATTACTGATCCTGGAATTAGATTGTTGGAGACTACACATTCGATAACGAATATCGAGTTGAAGTCAATTGAAGCTGTAATCAAGGAACCAAATCCAGATGATGATCCAAATCATCATGAAGGTACGAAACCCCCTGAGGTGGATGAAAATGGAATTCATGCGGGTAAAGTGAAGGATCAGCTGTCAAGGAAACTGGAGGAGCAGGGAAAAGTCACAGATAAAACTCAGGGAAGGAGGATTCAAGCATTGGCGTGGAAATCAGATCAGGCTGTGATGACTACGGGGCCTGATGTTTTTGTCTTTCCAACTGGGCTCTATCCTTTAATGTATCAATCACAATCCTTCCTAGCCGGGACAGGAATTGGTACATTCAAACTTACAACTGTTTCTCTGAAGTCGGGGCAAGCTGCTCCTGGAGTTCCTAATGGTAAATGTTCTAAAGAGTTGATTACCAGTACCACATTCTCTGCTATCTATGGCATTCATTACACGTTTATGGAAATGAAGGATGATGATATTCAACCCACGGGACGACCACCAGATAATCCGGAAGGCGCAGCAAATGTTGAGGCTGATGCCAGCTCACTTTCAAAGCCTGCTTTGCTCGAAGAGACAGTTGTTGAAGCTGCACAGGGCCTAAACGAGGTATTGATGAAGGCTGTAGCCAACATAGTGACATGTGTATTGGTTGGTGGCAGTTTGTTAGTTGTTGATCTGATGACTGCAGATCTTGAAACCTCAGATGGAACTGTATTATCAACTGATATTGATTCAGCCAGTATGATTCCAAGTCTATTACGCAGGGATGGTGAGAGGGGAAGATTGTGTGGGGTCGCAAAAGCCATTGATCTTATTGGACAGGTTTCCTTTGTAGATAAAAACAATGCATCTACTGAGCTTGATATTATGCCTAAACTGGCCATAAATTTCTGGGGAGTTACTGGAATTAGTGAAAGTTGTTTGAGAGGCAAATGGCAGGTTCGTACGGAAGCAAGGCAGCAGCTCTTGCATCATCTACAACATTATTTGGTTCTGCTGGTGACGATTCAACCTGTAAGGACCTGGGTATTGGTCATGATTCACTCTTACCATCTTTAGGACAGTTGAATGAGCCTGAAAAGCTTTCTATGATGAGAAACACTACATGGATTTTGTTTAACTTCTGTCAAGATCAGCCACCAACACCCGTTGACTTGGTCAGAGCTGTTTTACCAGTTCGTCAGCAACTAATCCATATGAAAGAGGAAGTGATGATGAATGTTCAAGAAGTGGAGCTCCTAGCTCAGAAATCCAGGAAATATTGGGAAGGCAGAGGTGCCAAGATGAAGTTGAGTAGCATGCCTGTTTATTACTCCCCACCTTGAGGACAAGGTGGTTGTTTAGGGGGGAGTATTGATAGGAATGGGCCTATTATTGTAGATAATAATAAGTGGGCTTGTAATAGAAATAGAAGTACTATAAATAGTAAGGAAGGGGGGAAAGGATAGGGAGGCAAGTATTCTGTCGGACTTAGAACTGGGAGACTGGGCATCTCGAATCGTCCTAGGCTTTGTATACGTTTCATACTTTTTGTGAAAGACATTATAGAATATTCTTTAGATTATGTTTTAGAATATTCTTCTATCTTTAGAATATGCTTTAGAATATTTTAGGAATATACTCTAGGATATTATTATTGTATAGAATCTTAAAGGAATATTCTATCTTTGTAATGTATATATATATGGGCTTGACCCTCCAATGAAATACACACAAAAATCATTCTTCTCATTACTATTCTATCTTTAATTCTTACAACATGGTATCAGAGCAATCTGTTCCAGTTTAGCTGAGCAGTATTTTTCAGAATCTCAGTTCATGCCTCAGCCAGAACCTTAGCCCAAAATTCAGAACCTCAGTCCAAAATCCACAGTTTCACATAGCATCACCTCCACCCTAAGCAGTCACGCCTTCCGCCGCCGACCTTACACTCGAAATCCGCAGGCCACACGCGCCGTCAGAGGACCTCGCAGACCTAATCGCAGACCCAATCACCGGAGAATCCATCGGAACTATTTTCCGGTGTCTTGAACGGTATTATCTTTCTGTGACTTTGCTTATTAAGTAACAACGACATTCAAGGATAATATTTTGGTCGCTGTAAGTTTACTTAATACATAGCATCTTATTTCTGCAATTAAAAAAAAAGTCAAAAAAAAAAAAGTCAAAAAAAAAAAAAATAAAAAAAAAAATGCCTGGTTCTGATACAGACACTTCCACCGTACAACATGCTCAGCCTTTGGTAGTTTCCGAAGTTATTCCCATTAATTTTAAAATTACTGAGAATAAACTTTGTGGCTCTAACTATCTTGAATGGAGTAAAACTATCAAACGTTATTTACGAAGCATTGATAAATACACCCACTTAGTTGATGACCCGCCAAAGGAGGAGATTGATAGAGCTGCTAATGCTGTCTGGCTTCGTGATGATTCTAGATTATTTATCCAGATTCAGAACTCCATGGAGAATGACGTCATGGGGTATGTTAGTCATTGTGATACTGTGAAAGAACTCTTTGATTATTTGGAATTTATGTATTATGGCAAAGGTAATCTTAACCACATCTATGAGGTGTGCAAAGCCTTTTACAGGACAGAAATGAAAGATAAGCCTCTCACAGCTTATTTTATGGATTTCAAGAAAACGTATGAAGAACTTAATACCTTAATGCCCTTTAGTCCTGATATCAAAGTGCAGCAGAAACAACGCGAACAAATGGCAGTCATGAGCTTTTTGGCTGGTCTTACGTCTGATTTTGAAACAGCCAAATCACATATCCTATCTAGTGATGTGGTCTCTTCTCTTCAAGATGCTTTCAGTAGAGTGCTTCGCACTGACACTTCATCCACATCATCAGCACCTCAGCCAAGCAATGCTTTTGTAGGACAAGTCCCAACATTCCCTAATGGAGGTGAGAAGTGGCCACGTACAGGACCGATTGGCAAAGGAGTAGTATGCAACTACTGTAAGAAACCCGGACACTTGATCAAAGATTGTCGAAAGCTAAAGTTCAAAAATCAAGGAAATCAAGTCGCTCACATTGCTTCCGCTACACAGCCATCTAATGGATCCATCATTATGTCTTCGGAGGAATATGCCAAATTCCTAGGTTACCAGGAGGCTCTAAAGCATTCATCTACTCCTATCTCAGCTGTAGCTAATTCAGGTAATCCAAACACATGTCTTGTATCTTCATCCTCAAAATGGGTTATCGATTCAGGTTCAACAGATCATATGACAGGTAATCCTAGTCGTTTTTCCTCATTCCACACACCTCTTCATTCTTCTAGTGTGACTTTGGCTGACGGATCTACGTCACCCGTTCTTGGTACGGGTACAATTGTCCCAACATCTACCTTACCTTTGTCACCCGTCCTAAGTTTTCCAAATTTTGCTTTCAATTTGATTTCGATCAGCAAAATCACACGTAAACTTAATTGTTCCGTAACCTTTTTTCCTGGATATTGTGTATTTCAGGATCTGTTGACGAATCAGGTTATTGGTAAAGGATATGAGTCGGCCGGTCTCTATCTCTTGGATACATCCTTACCCAAATCAATCTCTTGTCTTGGCATTGGAATTGTGTTAGAGGCTCACTATCGACTAGGTCACCCTTCTCTTCCGTTGTTAAAGAAGCTTTATCCTCAATTCAATAAGGTGTCATCTTTACAGTGTGATTCGTGTCAATTTGCAAAACATCATCGAAGTGGTCCAAGTCCTCGAGTCAATAAACGAGCACATGCTCCTTTTGAACTGGTTCATTCTGATGTTTGGGGTGCTTGCCCTGTTGTGTCCAAATCTGGTTTTAAATATTTTGTTACCTTTGTTGATGATTATTCTCGTATGACTTGGATTTATTTCATGAAACGTCGTTCCGAGTTATTTTCTCATTTTTGTGCCTTTTGTGCTGAAATCAAAACTCAATTTAATGTACATGTTCGTATTTTAAGGGGAGACAATGCTCAAGAGTATTTGTCTGCCTCATTTAAGTTGTATATGGCTCAACATGGCATAATTCATCAAACTTCATGTGTAGACACACCTCCCCAAAATGGAGTTGCTGAACGAAAGAACAGACATCTATTAGAAACTGCGCGGGCTCTTCTATTCCAAATGAATGTGCCAAAACATTTTTGGGCAGATGCTGTGTCTACCGCATGTTTTTTGATCAATCGAATGCCATCTACTGTTTTAGATGGTAAAACTCCATATCAGTGCCTATTTCCAAATAATGAAAATTTTCCTATTCCTCCTAAAGTTTTTGGTTGCACTTGTTTTGTACGAGATGTTAATCCCCATTTAACAAAGTTAGATCCCAAGTCATTAAAGTGCATTTTCTTAGGCTACTCTCGAGTTCAAAAGGGGTACAGATGTCTCCAAGTACAGGTCGGTATATTGTTTCAATTGATGTCTCCTTTTATGAAAATACACCATTTTCATCAACAGACACAAATATCTGTAGGGAGAATGATGATATACTCATTTACACAGTCACTATACCCGAGTCCAATACTTCAGCATTTCTTCCCCATGTTACTTTTCCTGAGCCTAGGCCACCGATACACTTGGTATACACCCGTCGACACAAAGTGCAAGATCACCCTCCACCTTTGGTTACTTCTCCTGATACTGATCCGATCTCATATCCTGAACCGACACCTGCATCTTCAGATCCTGTCTTTACATCAGATCTTGATCTCCCCATCGCACTACGTAAAGGTACACGGTCTTGTACTCATCCTATTTCTTCATGTGTGTCGTATAATCAGTTATCATCTGCCTCATGTTCTTTTATTGCTTCCATTGATTCTATTTCTGTTCCCAAATCTGTTAAAGATGCTTTGTCTCATCCTGATTGGCGTCATGCCATGGTAGAGGAAATGAATGCTTTGGATCTTAATGGTACCTGGGATTTGGTAGACTTGCCTACAGGGAAGAAGTCTATAGGATGTAAGTGGGTCTTTGCTGTAAAGGTTAACCCTGACGGATCCGTTGCTCGATTGAAAGCCCGATTAGTTGCGAAGGGTTATGCTCAAACCTATGGCGTTGATTATTCTGACACATTTTCTCCTGTTGCTAAATTAACATCTGTCAGAATACTTATTTCTCTCGCAGCAACTCATGGTTGGCACTTACATCAATTGGACATTAAGAATGCATTCTTGCATGGTGATCTTCAGGAGGAAGTTTATATTGAGCAACCTCCGGGGTTTGTTGCTCAGGGGGAGTATGGGAAAGTTTGTCGACTTCGCAAGTCTCTTTATGGTTTGAAACAGAGTCCCCGTGCATGGTTCGGGAAATTCAGCCAATCAATTGAACGATTTGGGATGATAAAAGGCAAATCAGATCACTCTGTATTTTACAGACAAACGAAAACAGGTATTACATTGCTTGTGGTGTATGTCGATGACATTGTGATTACAGGGAGTGATAATACAGGTATTTTGGCCCTAAAGAATTTTCTTCATAGTCAATTCCAGACGAAAGATTTGGGCTCATTGAAATACTTCTTGGGAATTGAGGTTACACGGAGTAAGAAAGGCATATTTCTATCTCAACGTAAATATGTGCTTGACTTACTAACTGAAACAGGGAAATTGGGGGCAAAACCAAGCAGTACTCCCATGATTCCCAATGTACAACTCACTCATGAAGGTATGCCATTCGAAGATCCGGAAAGATATAGACGGTTGGTTGGAAAACTTAATTATCTCTCAGTTACCCGTCCAGATATTGCATACTCAGTGAGTGTAGTAAGTCAATACATGTCATCTCCGACAGTGGATCATTGGAATGCTGTAGAGCATATATTATGTTACTTGAAGGGGACACCGGGACGAGGTATTGTTTATCAGAATCATAATCACATGAGAATAGAATGCTTTGCAGATGCTGATTGGGCTGGATCTAAAGATGATAGAAGATCCACATCTGGCTATTGCGTCTTTGTTGGTGGTAATCTCGTCTCTTGGAAAAGTAAGAAGCAGAATGTGGTTTCTCGTTCGAGTGCTGAATCAGAATATCGGACTATGGCACAATCGGCATGTGAGATAATCTGGATAAACCATTTATTGAGTGAAATGGGATTGAAGACACCAATGCCTGCTAAACTCTGGTGCGATAACCAAGCTGTTATACACATTGCCAACAATCCAGTGTTTCATGAGAGAACAAAACATATTGAGATCGATTGTCACTTTGTTCGAGAAAAGATACAACAAGGATTGATCTCTACAGGACATGTGAAGACTGGAGAGCAACTTGGAGATTTGTTCACTAAAGCACTAAATGGAATTCGTGTTGGTTACTTATGTAACAAGTTGGGCATGATAAATATTTATGCTCCAACTTGAGGAGGAGTGTGAAAGACATTATAGAATATTCTTTAGAATATGTTTTAGAATATTCTTCTATCTTTAGAATATGCTTTAGAATATTTTAGGAATATACTCTAGGATATTATTATTGTATAGAATCTTAAAGGAATATTCTATCTTTGTAATGTATATATATATGGGCTTGACCCTCCAATGAAATACACACAAAAATCATTCTTCTCATTACTATTCTATCTTTAATTCTTACAACACTTTTCTTCTTCATCAATAAACTCTTCTTGATCTCTTTCTTGATCAATTCTTTTGGATTCTCTGCTGTTCTTGATATTATTTCCAGTAATCTAACACCGCTATCTGCGGTTCACTAACCACTTTGACTACTGAGTTTTAGTGAGTGGTCAGTGAAGTCGACCGTAGTTGTCAGTGTAATCATATGAAAGTGGTCAGTGACACTGGCAATGGTGGTAAGTGGCTTGAGGCTGCTGTCAGTGGGTGGGTGCAATGGCCAGTGAGTAGTGACAGGAGGTTGGTGATCAGTGGGTTGGGCATCTTGGGTTTAGTAGCAAAATTAATTAGGTTGTTTCTGGGTAGCGATTTTGAGGCTTTTATTAGAACTAATAAATAAGTTCTAGTTTAGGAATGAAACATACTCCCTCCGACCCGCTAAGATTGTCCCATCTTTCCTTTTCAGTCTGTCCCATTAAGATAGTCTCATACCAAATTTGGTTAAATTTGTGTGGTTCTAAATCATTGTTACTTTATTCTTACTTTATCAATTCAATATCAACCACATAAACTCACTTTTCTTAATAACCGTGTCACCTCCTCATGTCCCATGGTTAGTGGGATGGAGGTATATTGTTGTATTTAGAGAGTTTCAGTTTTACTCCTAAATGGACCCATTTTGTCTCAAGTTTATTTATTTTTTATGAGACTCATACCATGTATTGGGGAGATATTATGTTTTTTTACTCTCTTCTTCCTCCCAGCTTTTTATACCTTGCTTTTTATACCTTGCTGTTTATAGCTTGTATGTCATTTTTTGTCAGCTGTGAGTATTTATTGTATTGTGGCACATCTGTTTCCTTGTTGAACAGTATAATCAATGATATGGAGCTTGAAGAAATACTTAATATGCCAATATTGGTTGTGCTTGACGAAGCATACATTGAGTTTTCGGGGATTGGGTCAAGGATGACATGGGTGAAGAAGCACGAAAATCTCATTGTTTTACGCACATTCAGCAAAAGAGCTGGTGCGTTTATGCTCCTTTGCAGATACACGCACAATTATGAATTATCCTCGCAACTTTTTTGTTTATCTTGATTTGTTTCCTTATCTGCTCTGTGTAATTGTTTTTTGGCTTGGGATTAGGCCAAATTACCAAATTGCTAAAAAAAGAGAGGATCATTGGACAGATTGATAAAAAAACATTTGAGACATATTGGTAAAAAAAAAGAAGCCATATTGACAAATTGGTCAATTTTTTGTGAGTGATAAAATTTTTATCCCCGACTTTAGAATTCCCGATCTTTCAAATTCTAAATATTGTGAAATTGACATTTTCAGCCCTTTTACTTTGATTTTGTCATCAAAAGTGAAAGTCTAAAAATGTCAACGACCGTGTTTGATAATACTCCCTCCGTCCCAAAATAAAAGGCACATATTCCTTTTTGGGCTGTCCCAATATAAAAGGCACATTTCCATGTTTGGCAAACAAATAGTGCAAAACAGTGTCAAACAGTATCCAAACAGTGCCAAACAGTTTCTAAACAATGTCTAAATAGTGCTAAACAGTGCCAAACAGCGTTCCTCCTAAAAATGTTTGAAAACGCAAATATGCTCTGTTAGTACCCAATTTTGATAGATTTTGATGATGTCACTATACTTAACACGTGTACATTGTGTCTCAGTTTTATTCTTGTATTAACACTCAAAAATGTGACAAAAATAAATGTACAATTTTTGAGACTAATGAAATACTACCGGAAAAATAAAAATGCAATAAGGTAATTTTTATTTACCTTAATAGGATATATTATTTAGTCCAAAGATTAATTAAATGTCACATTTTTATTACATACATTGAATATGTATGATTGAAGACAAATTTGACCGATATTTAATGCCAATTACGTACTGGGGTCCGGAGCGGTGTACACATACATAGGACTGTCTCCTGAAGTGAAGTTTAAGCGGCCAAATAATGCAAGACAAAGGCATCACCCAAAATCAGCTCCAGCACAAGAAGACGAACGTACAAATCGTCCTTGTCAACTTTCAACGCCAGAGATTAATTCATCCTAACCAACGGATGAGATTAATCCAAAGGAGAAGCCTATAAATATATGCTGAAACGAAAGTTTCTAACCAGGCTTTGAGCATCCAAAATAGAGAAAAATATCCTTCGAGCATTCAAGAGCTATCTAGCAAAAGAGAAAGTGCAAACTTAACTTTACTCTCTGCTTGGACTCATGTTTCACTAAACTTCTAGTTCATAAGCTATTTATTGCTAAATCATAGAAGTTTAGTTCCTAGTTGGAGGTTAGAACTTTCTTGTAACATTTCACAAATTGTTGTAAACACTTAGGAGAACTGTTGTTCGGATCCTAAGGTGTGGATAGATAGATAGAGTACCGTTTAATCCCCACTGGATTATTTGAGAAAAATCTAAGGACTGAGCAACTTCGAGTGGTGCTATACTCACTGTGAAAAACCTAAGTGTTGTAAAGGCTAGATTGGTACTAAGTGTATTGGGCTTAATACTTTAGTGAAATCCATCTGAAAGAGGGTGGGACTGGACGTAGGAGGATTACACCACCTCTGAACCAGGATACACTGTGTTGATTTACATTTATTCAACAAAGCACACACTTAGCACCTCTCACGAAAAGATTGAAGTTTGCCAGCAGAATCCTAAGCAGTTGTCTTAACTGATCCAACTGCTTATCGTACTGCTTAATTACTTACTTTCTTTGAGATTATTTTCACACAAGAGACGTGCATCAATATCACTAAAAGGCCTGCTTTATCAGTTTCCTGAAAGTCATACTCTAAGTATATCAGTTGCCTCAGCAGTTCCCTGGTGACCACCCAACTGCTGAGCCTACTGCTCATACAAACTTATTTCCCTTGAACATCTCAATATCACCAGACCTTCACAACATTACCAACAAGGAGGTTGACCAAACTGCTCTCTGAAAATCACCTTCTAAACTAAGCAGGTACCTCAGCAGTTCCTTCATTACCACCCAACTGCTGAGACCACTGCTCCAGTAAAACTTCTGATTACTTTTACTAAAGCACATTTTCTGAAAGCCCTCATCATTCTCAGCAACATTCCATTATCACTTTCATCAAACACTCAATATTTCCTCAGCAGTTGCCTTAGCAGTTCCCTGCTATCTAGCCAATTGCCAAGCCAACTGCCAAGCCAACTGCCAGACATTTGGGTTCAATCTTCTACCAAGATAGAAAGTATTCACACACTGATTCCATAGAGGGTAAAGACTTCCGTTGTGCATCTATAAATCTCTCAAAAGATTATAGATCAACTCCTTCTAAAGGGAAAAGTTTTTAAAGTTTAAAAAGATTTAAAAGTCTATTCACCCCCTCCTCTAGACTTTTACCCTATCCAGGACCATCATGCTCTTTATATTGGGATGTAGGGAGTAACATTTGTTTGGTAGCTAATAGCCGGTTGAATCGGCATATTGAAAATAGCTGATTGCGTTAGCTTTTATAACTAACCGCTTTCAATAGCGTTTGGAATAAAATGTTAGTAACTTAATTGTTGGCGAGTAAATGTTAAGACGTAAAATGACAACTAATATTATCAAACACGGTCATTGACATTTTTAGACTTCCACTTTTGATGACAAAATCAAAGTAAAAGGGCTGCAAATGTCAACCTCACAATACTTAGAATATGAGATGTCGAAAATTCTAAAGGCGAGGATCGAAAGTTTATCACTCACAAAAAATTGACCAATTTGTCGCTAGTTTTTTTTTACCAATATGTCTCATGTGGTTTTTATATACCAATTTGTCCAATGACCCTCTTTTTTTACCAATTTGGTAATTTGGCCCTTGGGATTATGTTGGAATAAAGCAAAATGACTCACTAAATTGTTTGTGCTTCTTTGTTATGAAGTAGCCGTCAGTCCATTCAATTTTCGATGAGATATTCATCATGGGTCATCTGGAAACAGTCTTTCTGTGCTTTAGTACAGGGGTAAGGCTGCGTATATCCGACCCCCTTACTCCACCGTAGGTGGGAGCCTTTCCGACACTGGGGTAATGTTGTTGTATGTGTTCTGTGTAACACACTTTATGTAGATAAGTTGAGAAGATGTGTCTAATGGATAGGTGATCTTATGTGTGAGTTATCATTTATATGTATTTCCATACAAGTAATAAATGAAATTACGGTCAAACACCAACTTTTTGGGTTTGCTTATCTGGATTATCCATTGATCTGCTCCACAGCATTTGGAGTGGCTTATTCGGAAGAAATAAGTGCTCTTTAGAGGAAGAAAGGTACTTTTAGTTCAAAAGGAGCATTTGACCCAAAAATGGGAAAGACACTTCTAACATAAACAACACTTTTAATGCTTATTTAAGAAGACATCATATTCACGTAATCATGTTGTTCAGTAAAATACTTTATTTGCTTAAATTAAATGAAAGAGCACGTATGATAAATGCACTTGTACTACAAGTTATCCCAAAACTTTTGGGCTAAAAGGCAGAATATAGATTATTTAATCCAATAATGTGATAAGATGAGCTTTGTTTTTACCAAACAGATTATGCCCTAGTTTGGCATTTGGCTTGGCTTCTGAAAAGCTGTTTTTTCCTATTCTGATAGGCTCCCTGAAATAGCTTATACTTGAGCTCAGAACTTCTTTTCAATAGCTGTTAACTCTTTTCAGGAGCTAGCCCAAAGTCTAAACACCAAAAATTTCTGGACATGCTTATAGCTGTAGATTAATCCTGATCCATCTTGTGCTGGAGTATCTTCATGCAATATAATACTATACACCCCCTAACCTGGTTATCCCTGTACCTTGTCAAAATGCTCTTATTTATTCCATCCCGAAGTTAGAATCTCCAATGAAACGTGGGATACTCTGGTTTTGGGAAAATGCCAAGGAAAGGAAAATATGTTACAGAAAGATATTTTCTTATGTCTGGTTTTACAACGAGAAATGCCAAGGAAAATAAAATACCACTCTGTATCACTTATTAAAGTTGAATTGAAGCATTTTTAGATTTCCTAGTTATCACATACGGAGTAATAGATATAAATAAATAAAGCTGGTATAAAATGAACTAAAATATATGTATGCCTAGAAACCTAGAAGTTTTCCATCCTATTGGGACTTGGTGTTTAAGAGTAGAGTAGACCAACGTTAGTTATTTCATATTTATCCAATGTGAGAAATATACTTTCTTCAACTCTTTAAACCCTAGGTGTTTTGAATTTTCAATAACTATAAGTTATCTTATCTCTCCATAGGTCTAGCTGGTCTTCGCGTGGGATATGGAGCTTTTCCTCTGAGCATTATTGAATACCTTTGGAGAGCAAAGCAACCTTATAACGTGTCTGTTGCTGCTGAGATTGCTGCATGTGCTGCCTTAAGGAACCCCACCTATCTTGAGGTAATTCAAACCTATTCAATACTCATCTTTAAGAGCTTCCCTTGATTATGGGCATCGTTGTCTTTGCAGAACGTTAAAGTGGCACTTGTACAGGAGCGGGAGAGGCTGTATAGTCTCTTGAAAGAAGTGCCATGTCTCGAACCATATCCAAGTCACTCTAACTTCATTCTTTGTAAGGTTACATCCGGGGTGGATGCTAAAAAGTTAAAGGTAACAGATCTCCTGGTACCACATTTTGAGAATTTGAGGTTGCTGAATGTTTTAAGTTTTGGTGCCTTGCATGCAACTTGTTGTGTCTTTCAATTATATATGTGGTGGGGTTTCCAAAATTTTTGTGTGAGCAATTGAATAACTTGATCCAAACCTCTAAGATACTTTTGGAGCATGGAAAATGCTAGGCTAAAAAATAGAGGAAAATATAGAGGACAAATGGAAAGAGAAAATCTGGAGATAGTAAAGATGACTCAAAAAAGGAGTACTATGCCCCCGTCTTAAATAGAAGTAATTACTATTGTGCTTTGAAAACACCACCAATTATGGCAAGATAATGACAATATGATTTCAGGATGACAGCAGTGTACTCCAATTTTGGGAAACACATAATACTCCTATATTGGAATTTCGTAACGTGTTTACTTTATTTTGGGATCATCATTATCATTACCCCAGTGCCGCAAAGGCTCCCGTCTACGGTAGGGTAAGGGGGGGGTCGGATGTACGCAGTCTTACCCTTGTACTAAAGCACAGAGAGACTGTTTCCGGATAGCCATTTTGCTTTATTCCATCATATTCTCAAGCCAAAAAATAGTAAATCTTTGGCTCCATTGCAAATGATGGAAATGGTTTACTTTATTTTGGGAAATTTAAAAAAAATTATCTTAGATGTTTGTGCAAATCCATTTAAATTACTTATTCTTCTATATGTGAAATTTAAAAAAAAAAAACATACTCCGTATTTTTTGTCCTTATGCATTTTTAAGGTAAAGCCAAACATTAACAAATAACTTTCCCCAACTTTTTCCTTGGCATTTTTTTGGGCTCCAAACGTAGCTTAAAGCTTTCGTTCTTGTGTTGACTTTTTGGATATTGTTATCATTGCACAATGATCAGAATCCACACAGTTGTAGACTTTATGTTTGCCATGGCGAGTTGGAAAACTAACTTAATGCCTAAAAAATTATATCAGCAGTCCCACATCTATTGAGTCCATCCTGCTTTCAATATTTTACACTTTTAATGAAGGACTATTTCTTGCCAATTGTGATCCTTATAGCCAAAATCAACTGGAAATTGCCACACAGATTCACAGATAAACAATTGATATCCATACTTCAAGACATTGTGCTTGTCTCTGTTTTTCTCTATTTATTATTTTTAACTCCGATGTCATGTGTCGATTCATGTTAGCCGACCCCAAACTCTTTTGGGATTAAGGCTTGGATGTTGTTGTAGTGCCAACGTATATATAGCTTCAAAAGATTTCATATTTATTTTACTAACCAATAAAATCTATAGCTTATAAGATTATAAGAAGCTATAAGATATACGAAGTAGGGTAAGATCTAACTAAATGTAATCAAATTCATGTGTGGTGTAGTAAAGTTTTTCTAAAAATGTAACATGATTTGATTGCCTTATGAGCTAGTAATTGTCTATAAACTGATGTCTATTCTCGCATATAACAGGAAGATCTTGCAATGATGGGTGTGATGATTCGTCATTACAGTAGCAAAGAACTATGTGGCTTTGTTCGAGTTTCTGTTGGGAAGCCTGAGCACACTGATGCTCTAATGCAGGCCCTGAAACACTTCCACTGATGCCTTAGAAATCCCTGAAGACGCTTCCCTGTCAGAGATGCACTTTTGGTGAAATGTTGAATCTAATCTAATGAATTTTTAACTGTCAACCAATGTAAAACCATTTGCACTGCCCTGGCACATTTTTTACTGCACCACAAATGTGGTTTTTATTATGAAACCGCGCTGTAAAATCAGAGGGTGATGTTTCTGGCCTGCGAATACAATTTGTTATTTGTATTTTTAGTTGCAAACCCTTGTACAAAGAGTAGCTGTTTCAGGCTGTCTCTCGAGAGTTTGGGAACCAACTGATGTTTATGTGAATTGGTTGGACTGGTAGTGCGGTTAAACAGAAGTCACTCTCAAGAGGACTTTAAAGTAGAAAGAACATAACAGTGCACAACACAATTGAGCAAATCATACTCAATGAGAATTAGAGTATCTCCATTCATGAAGATCTTTTTGGAAGATTCAAAAAATGTTTGAGTCGGCTAGCATAAATTCAAACATGATATTGGAGCCAAAATAAAAGAAAGATGAAAGTATAAGACTATAAGGTATGATAAAAAGATAACAAAAAGATTAAGATAAAATGGAGAAAAAATATATAATAAAGATGAAAAGCATAAAAATATAAGAAAAAAAAGAATTATATACAGATAAAATATAAGATAAAAAAAGATAAGATATAAATGATAAAAAGAATTATAGATAAATGCATAAAAAATTAAAAATTATAAAAAAGAACCAAGAAAAACAAAAAAAATGATAAGAGATCAATCTGACACATGAATTATGAATATCTATCCTTCACTTTGTTGTCTTCAAATTCAGGCTTTCATCTGATTTAAGAAGAAACATATCACTAATGATTCATCTAATCCACATTTGTTTGGGTGTTCCTCTCCCTCTCCTCCTGTATCTTTTTCAGATCTCTCAACTCATCTAACATATGCATCACTCGATCTTCTATTCACATGATCAAATCACCATAATCGAGACTTCCTCATCTTATCTTCAATAAATGTTATTCCCACCTTTGGTCTTGTCGTATTATTCCTCGACACAACATGTGCATCTCTGCTATACTCTTCTTTTAAATGTGACATTATTTCATCGTTCAACACTATATGTCATACATTGTAATGCAGACTTAATTATTCTCTGCTAAAATTTACTCTTCAATTTAACCGGCATACCTCGATGACATAAAAATGGTGACACGCTCTTTCATTTCATCCACCTTTCTCTGATTCTATGGGATACACTTTCATCTAATTCACTGCCCTTCTGAACTGTGGAACCCAAGTAACAGAACACATCACTGACCAATATAATATCTCTTTACCATCTAAGGTAATTCCATTGTTACCACAATTTCTACGTCCACCAAACTTGCACTCTATATACATAAAAGCAAAATCTCTCCCCAAACTCCTTTCCCGCTTCTCTTCCCCATTTACTGCCCAAGACGGTTACCAACACATTTTACGTTTTCTTCTAAAAAGCATAAGCCCTTCCTTGATTTCTTCCTCAATTTTATGTTTTCTTCTCCAGACTCCCCAATCAGCGCAATTAAGGGTCTGCTTACTAATGAAGATATTTTCCAGTTTTTCGGGAATATGGAAAACTAGAAAACAGAAAACAAGAAACGTGTTTACCAAAGAAAATTGCTGGAAAACTACAGAAAGGAAAACAGAAAAATACGTTTACCAAACCGTTTTCCAATGTCGATTTCATTCTAGTACCTCCATCCTATTACCTTACCCCTACCCTACCCTACCCACCCAAACCCCCACCCTGCATACCCCTTTTCCCTACAATGACCCTACCTCCACCCCCTACCACATGCCCCTACCTCGGTCCCACCCTGATCCACCCTGCCCTACCGCCACCCCCTACAACCTCAAACCCACCCCGACCCACCCTACCCTACCCTACCCCCACCTCGTATATTACCCCTTACCCCTTCCCACATGCCCCTACATCGGCCCCACCCTACCGCCATCCTACCCCCACCCTACTGTCATCCTACCCCCACCCTACCCCTTCCCCTACCTCGGCCCCACCCTACCGCCATCCTATCCCAACTCCCTACCCTACCCCTATCTTACCCCAACCCCAACCCTTACCCCTAACCACCACCCTAACCCACCCACTACCAACCCTGTACCCCTAGACCTTACCACCCACCCCCGACCATACCCCTTACCCACCCCCACCCATACCTTCCTTCCGTACCTTGACCCCTACGAGTAGGTATGGGTGGGTATGAAGGGTTTTAGGTAGGGGTGGGCATTTCGGTTTTCGGTTCGGTTTTCTTCGGTCTCAGTTCGGTTTCGGTTTAATCGGTTTGATAGAAAATGTACCAAATACAAACCGATTAAGTTTCGGTTTGGTTTCGGTTTGGTACGGTTCGATTCGGTTTGGAGTCCGGTTTACCAAAGTATTAAGGTTTGGATTGAAATAAAAAAATTAACTCAAAATAATAAACCAAGAAGCGACAGTGATGAACCAAATATAATGTTAGATATAAATTTGTAAACAGTAACAAAACACATATGAACCAAAAATATATAAGCATGACACATTTGTAAGCAGCAACAACAACGAGAATGAATCAAATTATATATAAAGCCGAAACAAAAACAAAACTGGTGCTTGTAAGTAATGAATCAAATATATAGTAGTAGTAGATAGTAAATTATAGTTAAATACTATCTACTTAAACCATTATAATTGTTATAGTTGTGAATGTAAGTCTTGTAGTAAACTCTAGTCCTCGACACTAAAATTAGAGAATTAAATCTTCAAAAAGATTAACATCAATCAAATTAATGAGAGAAATCTTATATTTTAGTTTGGTTTAGTTTGTTGTAAGTTGGTTTTGATATGTTATTTTAAAAAAATAAGAAATTATTTCATTTTTAGATTAGTTCGGTTTTATTCGGTGATGGATAGTGTACCCGGGAGTAGCTTATCCGGGGGGTTATTGCGGGAATAACTTAGAGAGAAGTCAGAGCAATAAGTAGAGAGAGAATATGTATTCAATATGTGAATTTGTGATGTTTTACAATGGGGAAATGAGCTGCTATTTATAGCACCAATAAATGCTAGATAAGGACACGTGTCAATAATCTGGTGGTCGAGGAGTCACCTCAATCGGGGTGGCACCGACATTTGCATGTGGCCGCATTAAATGCGGTGGTTGGATGCGATGTTGTACTTGGTACGGTGATCCAGCGCATGTGAAGAGGAGATTCTGTCGAGGAAGACGCCTTCGGCTGTATCTACTGTGCCGAAGGCTCCATGGGACGGGGGCCTCTATGTGCTGAGGGTTGTAGGTGCCAAAGGCTTGGTATTCAAACCGTATTCTCCTGCGATGTTCCTGAGCTAAATTCTGTCATCGGTAGCCTTCGGTCATGGGGCCGAAGGCACCTCCTTGTGTATTGTGGGCTGTTTAGAGCTTCATTTTGCTGGGCTTGGCCCATTTGGGCCTGTTGGCAGTAGTGGGAGTATTTGGGCCGGGGGTCCCCGGGCCATATACTCCATCATTCAGTTTTATTCGATTTTATGATTTCGGTTCGGTTTAATACGGGTTGGGAGGAATACTACCAAACTCAAACCAAATTACAAATGGTTCGGTTTCGGTTTGGTTAATTCGGTTCGGTCAAACCGAACCGTTATGCCCTCCCCTAGTTTTAGTGGAGTATGGGTAGAGTACCAGAGTGTAAGATCTTGGTAAGGGTAGGGGTATAGTCAAGGGTGTGGAATTGGGTGTAGGGTGTAGGGTGGGGGTTTGAGGTATAGGGGCAGGGTAGGGGTTAGGGGTATGGGTACACGTACGAGGTGATCGACCCCACATATTATATTATATAGTTTGGACAGTTTAATGTTAAACAGTGTTTTAAACCTTTTGAAGTAAACATGATCTTATAACATTGCTTATTTTATGCGTCGCGTATTAACGCGAGTCTTAATAAGCATCATTTAGTAACCCGTGAAGTAAACATGTCAGTCTTCTGGATGATCACAGAATTGAGTGGAAAAATTGATGAACATGTTTTCAGATTTGAAAATGGAAAACTAGAAAAAATAGAAACAGAAAACTGAAGATAGAAAAACTGAAAAATAAAAACATAAATTTGAAGAATGAAAAACAGAAAAATATTAGTGATCCTGCCCTAACTTTTCCTCAATTTTACATTTCCTTCTCCCGGCACAAATTCATCACAGTCAACTCGGATGGGCATCTTCAATTTACTGCCTCTGGACGGTTACCCTTACATAGCCTTTCCTTGGTTTCTTCCTCAATTTTACGTTTTCTTCTCCAGACTCCAATCAGCGCAGTTAACTTTCCTCAATCGTACGTTTCTTTCTCCGGGCACAAATTCAGGGCAGTCAACTCGGATGGGCATCTTCAATTTTACTTTACAATCGATGAATCCTTCCCTTTCATTTCTATACACTGTTATTCTTTCATTCTTACAAACAGTGGTTTCATTTTACCACAGCTGGCTGCTCGCTTCAAAACAGAAGGCACTCCATACTTACAGGCGGCTTCATTTCTTACCAACCTTGGTGGCTGCAGCGTAGCTTCAAACTTGAAGGCATTCAAAGATTTACCGGCGGCTTCAATTCCTACCACTATGGCCGCTCTCTTCAAAATGGAATGCATTTCATATTTCACTTCCATAAAGTTATCACCTTTAGAAATCTCTCTAAAGTATCACTGGAATCATTTAGTTTTTTTCCCGAGATTAGCACTTCATTCTCAAGGTTAGACTTCCATGGCCCCTATTTGTCATTCGAACTATTAGATTTTTACATTTCTTCATTTCTGAGCTTCTGCTAATGTTTCGGTAAATCTGAATCATCCACTTCATTTGGTATATAATTGCATTTAGGGACTTGTGCAAAATGTTACTAAAGATTTCTGCAAGTTTTTTAGGACAGTTCAATCAATATAAGGGAGTGTATTTTTTATTTGAAGAACGGAAGTATCTCTCTTTTAAATCTTCCCAACATCAAATAATTGATCTCTTTTCCTTGAAAATTAACATAGTATAACCATAATATATCGTCTAATCTTTATACAGTCGTAAATGAAATAATTTCTGCCATTTATGCATATATTGGTTTGGAAATTTGAGAATTTATTTTGATCAATATTTTGATAGCAAGGGGTTTGTTATAATTCCTCAATCAAGAATATTTAACTATGATGCCTAATTCTTTAGGCTTTAGAATATAGTGCACGCTTATTGTTCCCTAACCACATAAATTTGGAAATCAAAGCACCAGGTAGAAGATATGTGTAGGCTATTTAATCATCTGTCAGAGATCAGAATGATCTTTCTGCACTAAACATGGGTTATTTGTGTATGAGTTTTCAATTTTTTTCTGTTATTAATTGAATCTAATAATGATTTATCTTATTAATCTTTCTTGTGTCAATCCTTATTAACCATTATTAATATTACGGAGTATTATTATTACAATTATTATTATTATTCTTTTCGCAGCAACTATATTTACTTGAAGGCAGAGGCGAAATGAAATGGTCAGTATTGCTTCCGGTATTTATTACTTAGTTTGAGTTCAGATATAGTTACTTTTAGCCTTTTAGGTATATATCCTTTTTAGTTATACAAGTCAATATTCATTGATGAATCTTCGTGTAACTCCAGGTTGCACACACATTAGTTTATCTGTAAAGCTTTCACTGATCGTCATTATATATACACATAAGTGTTGCTGTAACTCCAGGTTTCATATCCATAATTTTCTTTTCTTTTCTACTCACCGACCCTTTCATGGGCATTTCAGCACCCAAACTATGCACACTACGCTTGCAGTAGCTGGCGGTTACTTGACATCATCGCCCAACACAATGAGTCAAAAGACCTCACCGTCACAGTTATCTTGAATCAAAACCATTTTTTTTGGTTGAAGCGAAGAGGCCGACTGCGAGCTGATAGAAGTGTTCTAATTGTAGTGTATGTTTGGAATAGGATGAGAGGACTCTAAATAGAAAATACAATTTCAGAGTGTTTCATACATACACTACTAAGCTATTGATCTCATGGTTTAGATTTGCCCACTATATTGGCATCCTGCACCATGAAACGAATGAGAAAAAGACCGCCTTTCTTAGGTTATTTTTTAGGCTGCCACACGGGTCGTTAACCGGCAAACCGAGATGCTACCGGCTAATCGGCCCAATTGAGCATTTTTAAAGAGTTCAGGGGTTCAATTGGGTGTTTTTGAAGTGTGGGGGTTTAATTGACGTTTTGACTATAGTACGAGGGCTTATCTGATAGTTTTCTCTTTTATATACAACACCAATATAAATTATGATTTGTGAATATAAACAACTAGAAACATAAAGAAACAATAAGACATCAAAATTCAGAGTTATAAACAAAAAGAAACAATAGGAAACAAAAACTAAAAACAAAGCAATAATTGTAATTTAAAAAAAATTAAGTTCTTATTAAGAAATATGGAGTAATACATTACAAATTTCATCTTTTTTAAAAAATAATTTTTTAATATGTTTCAAGTTCACTATTTTAGCTTTTGACGTTTTTATTTTCTGAGTTTTTAAATTTTACTCTTTAGTTTACATTAAATTTATGTTTTTTTTTAATTTTGGAATATTGTTTTTTTCATTATTAATACAATTAATTTTATTTTTTAAGTATTTTTAAATTTTTAAATATAAAAATTGTATTTCTAGTATTTATATTTTCTTGTTTTTTAAAATAACCACTTCATCATAAAAGTTTGTAATTACTTTTTTAATAATTTCAAAACATTATTATCTAATTCAAAAATGTTATTTATAAATTCAGGTTTTGTTTTAATTTTTTTTTCTTTCTAAACATTATTATCCTTTTTAATTCTTAATGAACACTTTCATCTTTCTATTTAAAAATAAAAAAATATTGTATGAACACTTTCTACGGAGAATTAGTTTGTGGAAGTATGATGAGTAGTGATTCAATTTGTACGTACATGCGTCAGGACGCAGGAGAATATTCCAGTAGCAAAGCTTCATGCAAACGAATGACGGTCTGTTTTTGAAAACAAAGTTTTAAGCAGCCCATGTTTGAAAACTACATTTAAAAATGAAAACTACCGAAAAATTCCCATTTTTTTCGGTGGGAATTTTGTAATTTAAGTGAAAAATCGCGGCTTCTTCTAAATGAGCAATAATGTAATTGTAGTGACCATCAAACCTATTTTATTGAGTATTAAGAGGCTAACAATGAGTTTCATGATCCTGGCTTCATATATTCTAATTCTCTTTCTATTTATTATTTTTTCTTGGAATTTTATCAATTCAGGACCCGAAAGATAGATAAAGTATCAATCCGGGACCTAAAAGATGAAATGTATCGATATATGACCTGAATGATGAAAAACTATAATTATAGGACCTGAATGATTTAGAATTATCGATCTAGGGCCTAAGTTGTCATGAATTTTATTAATTTTTTTATTTTGAAAATTTTAAATATCATTTAGTTTTATTAAACTAATAAAGTTTTGTAAAGACAAGTTTATCAAAAACTAGCAATGGAATTAATAAAAAATTAAATAAATCAAAACATATCAAATGTTAGGTCCTAGATTGATAGTTTTCCATCATTCGGGTCCTATATCGATATATATCATCTTTCAGGTCCTAGATTGATAATTCATCTATCTTTCATGTCCTGAGTTGATAAAATTCCTTTTTTCTTTTATAAAAACTTATTAAATTATATCTATAATCCACTCTTATTAATTTCAATATGGGAGTCTAGTATAATATGATACTTTTGAATTATGCATTGATATGACATTGTAAAATGAGCATTACATCAGTACCAAATGAGCATACATAACTACAAAGTGTACATTGATATGAAAATCGTAAGGTTTTGTTAGTTGAACATCACGAAATTTTAATTGAGCATCAAACATCCGTTATTGAGATGAAAACCACCGTTTCTTGTGAATGAGCATTAATGAACTTTTTATGAGCATCTGGTCTATTACGTTGAGTATTAGGAGTCTAATATATGAGCATAAGATCGGTATCAGATGAACATACATAACTAACAAAATGAGCACTAATGAATTTGTTAATTGGTTTGTTAGTTGAAAATCATGATATTTTTATTGAGCATCAAATCTCCTCTATTGAGATGGAAATAATGGTTTCTGTTAAATGAACATAAAACGCATTTCTAATGTGAATCTAATGTAGTATGATATGTTTGAAGTGTGCAACCTTTTAAAGTGAGTATAAAACGGTACCAAATGAGCATACATAACTTACAAAATGAGTATCAAAAAATTTAAAAACACATTTTTGTGTGCTCATTCATTTTGGACGTTATACTCATTTGAATTTAACACAAAATTCATTTCTATTGTGCTCAATATTCATTTGTGTATTGATACGACATTTTAAAATAAGTATAAAACGAATATTAAATGAGCATACGTAACTTACAAAATGAGATATAAAAACAAAACATTAATATCTAAAATACATTATAATTGTTGTAAAACCTAGGAAATGACAAGTGTGAATTGTTCATCCTTGTCATCATCCTTGTAAACAGGACACTAAGCTTCTTTCCATCCTTGTAATCATAGATAGACAGATGGCTAGGTTTAATAGTGCCAGCAAAATATGTAGAAGTAGTCTTTGATGATTCATCATCAAGCCCAGCTAGTATAAATATGGTTTGATCAAACCTTTGTAATGTAACTCAGAAATTCAGAAAATCTCAGTTATATCAAGAAGAAGTAATTTAGAGCTTATTAATAATATCTCTCTCTAAAACTTGGTCTTCATCTTCTTCATTACACAACACGTTATCAGCACAAATCTGCTCAAAAATCTCCTTAGATCATCATCTCCTGCAGGTATAAACATCAAGACTTATACGTACGTTGCCTATGGTTTCAACAAAATAAATGCTTAGTGTTTTAATAAAAATATAGATAACATATATATATATGTATGTATGTATGTATGTATGTATGTATGTATGTACCTTCAAAGCTTTACTCTCATGGATCTTGATAAATTCTTTGGACAAGTATGAAGACAAATACTAAGCCATTCATACGGAGTATATCGGAGTACAACAATTCGTAAGAAAGAAAAGAGATAAAAACCAATGTAGTCAGTAGTGAAAGAAAGAGGAGAACCGATTGGGAACAAAGTCTAAGTATAACCGTTTATTATATGACTATATGTAAGCCATTCAATTATAGGAGAACCGATTAAGAAATAGGAGTAATAAATGGTCACATGTATTGGCTAATACTCACGTGCATGCATGCGGCGGATATTTTGCATAAACCAAACGTCCGCATGAAGACTTCTAGTGGTCGTATATTTGTAATTATTAAATAGCTTCTTATTGATAATTATCCCTTCCTAATCTTACGTAGAAGTATCGGTCAAGACTAGGAAGGTTGTTATACTTTTGTATTTAAATAGCATAGGCTTGGAAGATGTACAGTAAGCTTTTTACGCAATTCAATATTAACGATCGGTTCATAATATCTACGTGAGGTTTTGTTCATGGTATCAGAGCAGTGATTAAGATCCTGCAACCAATCGAACAACAACGTGACGATGGCCAACGACTCAAATAACAACGACAACCAGATGAACAACGATGGCGGACGAAACAAGATCAATGATATTTCTTCTCCGTATTACCTTTTTTTATTTTATTTTTTCCGGATCAAACCACCCTTGGTGGAGGAAGTGCCGGGGAACACTTCCAAAATTTATTCATAAAAATTAAAAGTTACAAGAAATTTAAAGATGCTTGAGTTGAAAGAAAGATACATAGAAAACAGAGAAACACTAGCAATTGAAATTTAAAGATGCTTGGGTCAAACTGTTACTGCGTATTTCAGAGAGCTCAAAACACTTTGGGACGATTATGACGGTCTCAGGGCAAAACCGCAATGTAAGTGTAATGGGTGTACGTGCGATCTCAATTAACAATTTCTCAGGCTTGTTGAAATTGAGAAAACCCATGAGTTTCTTCTCGGCCTTGAGCATGAAGGGTTCGGCGTGCTGCGATCCAACATCTTAAGCAAGGATGAACTTCTGTCCATGACTAAAGTTTACCAGGCTGTGACTCAGGAAGAAAGGCACCGTAACATGATTAGAGGCAGAGAAGAACGAACTCAAGTTATGGCTCATGCTACAAGGACCGGAGACGGACGGGATGAGAAGCTCAAGTGCACATTCTGCCACAAAACTGGACACGAGGTAGACAACTGCTTCAAGAAAACTGGCCGCTACCCGGAGTGGTGGTATGACAACCCCGGACGAGGAAGAGGTATTGGCCGGGGGAAAGAACATAGTGGTCCTGGACGCGGACGAGGGAAGGCAGTTGCTCACGCCGTGATTGGGGAGGCAAGCGAAGAGAAACACGGTGAAGGCGTTATACAGAACAAAGTGGCTGGCCTTTCAGATGAGCAATGGAAAGTATTGTTGCAGCTTGTTGAAAATAGTAAGGCAGCATGCTCAGGAGAAAAATTATCAGGTATGCCGTATGAACTTGGCTGGCTCTTAGACTCTGGAGCCTCTTATCACATGACGGCTAGAGCGGATCTTTTTTACAAAATTGATAAGTTGAATCCGATACCGGTTACTATGCCAGACGGTAAAATTACTTATGCAACGTGCGTTGGAGAAATACACATGAGTCCCAAAATACACATAAAAAATGTACTCTTGGTTCCCGGATGGAATTGCAACTTGATATCAGTTGCACGCCTTATTGATGACATAAAATGTGAAATTTATTTTGCTAATGACATTTGTGTAATACAAGACCAACCTTCGAGGATGCCGATTGGAGTGGCTAAACGGAAAGGAGGAGTTTATTATTTTCACTTTCTGGACAGAATTCAAGCTCATTCAATCAAGGGTGTTCATTCAGGTGATTTATGTCATTCAAGATTAGGGCATCCGTCCAAGACAGTTCTGCGTCTAGTTAGTGATTTAAATCACTCGTTATTTCAAGTTGATTTGAATAATGTTTGTGATGCGTGTTTACGTGGAAAACAAACTCGTGATTCCTTCAATAATAATTTAGCTAAAGCTGTTGAACCATTTGAGTTGATTCACTATGATATCTGGGGCCCGTATAGAACACCTGCCACGTGTGGTGCACGTTATTTTTTAACTATTGTCTACGATTACTCACGTGCAGTGTGGGTGCATTTGATTTGTGATAGGGGGAGGTACGACCTGATTTGAAATCTTTCCTTGCTATGACACATAGGCAATTTAATAAACAAGTGAAAATTGTTCGAAGTGACAATGGTATGGAATTTACAAGTTTGAAAGAATATTTTTTGGAGCAGGGAATTATATTTCAAACTTCTTGTGTATATACCCCTCAACAAAAAGGAAGGGTAGAAAGGAAATATAGGCATATCCTTGATATGGCACGTACTCTACGTTTTCATGCACACTTGCCGATCGCCTTTTGGGGGGAATGTGTTCTGACTTCTAGTTATCTCATTAATAGATTACCCTCGCCAATTTTAGATAACAAGAGTCCATATGAAATGTTGTATCACAAACCGCCAAATTATGATCAATTGCGTGTCTTTGGATGCTTGTGCTATGCACATAACAAGGATCGTAATGGTGATAAATTTGCTCCACGTGGTATTAAATGTGTTTTCTTGGGATATGCATATAATCAAAAGGGGTGGAAGGTCTTTGATTTGGAAAAACGACGTCATTTTGTTTCACGTGATGTACATTTTGTTGAAACCAATTTCCCATTCCAAAATGGTATCACGGAGGGTGGTGCACTCTTGGAACGACGACATAATGACGAGGCAGCTACCTGGCTGCGTTTGACCCACCTGGCAGATTCAGATAAGAACACTGGGATGGGCAGTACTAATAAGGAGGCACGTAGTGGCCATTCTGATACAGTTTCACATGCGGCCGAGAATCAGTCCAGCACCCCGACGCATGACATTCCAACTTTCACGCACCAGGCAGATATTTCAGCATCCACATCCGGAATTCAGCACAAACGTCTGCGGAAGCCACCTGTCTGGCATTGTGATTATGATGTGCGACTTAACACAGTGAAAATAAACTCCCCTCCCCACGTTTGCGTTGCTCCAAACGCCGATTCAGGTAACCCGTATTCATTATCTCATTATGTAAAATATACTCACTTTTCTGTCCAGCATCATGCCTTTCTTGCAGCTCTTTCAGCTCACAAAGAACCTACCTCTTATCATGAGGTCGTCCGTGATCCGCATTGGCGTAACGCCATGCAACGTGAGATATATGCTCTTGAACACACTGGAACGTGGGAAGTTCAGTCTTTGCTGCCTGGTAAGAAAACCATTTTTTGCAAATGGGTTTTCAAAATAAAATATAAAACTGACGGCAGCATAGCTCGGTACAAGGCACGTTTGGTTGTTTGTGGTAATAAACAAGTTCATGGAATTGATTATTCGGAGACTTTTGCTCCTGTCGCGAAAATGGTAACGGTGCATACTATTATGGCAGTTGCCTCTGTTCGACATTGGGAGATTTATCAGATGGACGTCGACAATGCCTTTTTGCATGGCGATCTCCGTGAGGAGGTGTTTATGCACTTACCTCCGGGTTACACCGCCTCGGAACCCGGAAAGGTTTGTCGTTTATTAAAATCTTTGTATGGCCTTCGTCAGGCACCAAGATGCTGGTTCTCAAAACTCACTGGGGTTTTACGTATGTACGGGTTTATTCAGTGCCATGCGGATTACTCATTATTTACGTTAAAGCGTGGATCTCATATCGTATGTGTGTTAATTTATGTTGATTATCTTCTTATTACCGGGAATAATCATGAACTGATTGTTGAATTCAAAGGGTTTTTGGCCAATTCTTTTCATGTTAAAGATTTGGAGGCACATGAAATATTTTTTGGGAATTGAAGTGGCTCGAAATTCCTCTGGTATTTTTCTCTGTCAACGAAAGTATATGCTGTACATTCTTACTGAAACAGGGCTCCTTGGATCCAAGCCCGTGTCTTTTCCCATGATTCAAAATCATGGACTTCAATCGGATCAAGGACCATTGTTTCATGACTCGGACCGGTATCGTCGACTAGTTCGTAAACTCATTTATCTTACCCTTACTCGCTCGAATATCAGTTATTCTGTTCATATATTATCACAATTTATGAAACAACCAAGACAAGCACACTAGGAGGCAGTTGTGCGAGTATTGCGTTATCTCAAAGGCCATCCAGGCCAGGGCATTCTCCTCCGGTCCGATTCCTCTCTCACCTTGGTTGGCTTTTGTGATTCTGACTGGGCCAGTTGTCCCATTACACGCAGATCTGTCATAGGATATTTTGTCCAGCTTGGCGGGTCCCCTATCTCTTGGCGCACGAAGAAGCAGGTTACGGTGTCTCGATCCTCCGCTGAAGCGGAATACCAGTCTATGGCCACTCTCACTTGCGAGTTAATCTGGCTCAAAAATTTATTGGGTTCTCTTGAAGTGCGGCTTAATTCTCCTATTCCCATTTTTTATGACAACAACTCCGCTATTCATATCGCCTCTAACCCGGTCTTTCATGAGCGAACCAAGCATATAGAGTTAGATTGTCATTTTCTTTGTGATCATGTTCAAGCCGGCACAATTGTTCCCGTTCATAAATCTACTACGGAACAGCTAGCGGACCTGTTCACAAAAGCTCTGGGATCACAACAATTCTCTTATTTACTTGCCAAGATGGGCATTCTTGATCCCCATGCTCCATCTTGAGGGGGGAGCATGGGGATCACAACAGGTCTTTCATGACCTGTGCATGCATGCAGCAGATATTTTGCATAAACCAAACGTCTGCATGAAGACTTCTAGTTGTTGTATATTTGTAATTATTAAATAGCTTCTTGTTGATAATTATCCCTTCCTAATCTTACGTAGAAGTAGCGGCCAAGACTAGGAAGGTTGTTATACTTTTGTATTTAAATAGCATAGGCTTGGAAGATGAACAATAAGCTTTTTATGCAATTCAATATTAATGATCAGTTCATATATCTACGTGAGGTTTTGTTCAACATATATGACTCTCTAAATGAATGGCTAGTTTTTCTTTCTTGGGCGGTGAATTTTGTCTTAGTATGCCTTGTGATTATTTCAACTGCTTCAATCACATCTATAGCTGACAACTTTCAGAATTTTCTTTTATTCACCCAACTACCCAAGCACTTATCCAACACTATTTAAAATTTTGACCATAAATATTCAAATTCAAATTAGTTACTTTTACTAAATAAGTATAAATTGCTTTTGTATACTTTTTACATACGTAGTATAAATCATTAGAAGTTGAAATAAGTTCTTCGTAATTCGTATACAAATTAAAACAAAAACAAATATCTTGATTTTAGAGCAGTTTAAGTATGTGCTCAAACAAACCAACCGTTAGATTTAATTATGAAGGTATATATAAAAGGTAGCATGTTATTTAAAATAATGATGTTCATGCATTAACTTTTCTTCTTTATTTCTTGTTTACAATCTAATATTATACGAAGTATATAAAATACATGCATAGTTTATAATAGTTTAAATTGAACTATTAATAAGTTACGAGTATTCATTCAATATATATTACCTATACTTGAACAATAGCAATACTTTATTTCATTTATGTAGCACTACTAAATCAATTTAAATTAATAATCTTGTAGTCTAAAATGACCAACATTAGCAAAAGAGAATTTGACGTCCTTGATCTGTCCGGTCAAAAATATTTGGAATGGAAAGTCGATGCTCTGGCACATCTTAATGCCAATGGTTTAGAAGATACAATTGAAGCCAATAATCTATCATCTTCCCAAGATAAAGCGAAAGCTATCATTTTCCTCCATCACCACCTCCATGAAAGTCTTAAATCTTAATATCTTTTGGTTGATGATCCAAAAGAATTATGGGACAATTTACAAGAGAGGTATGGCCACCAACAAAAGGTACTTTTTCCAAAAGCTCAGTATGACTGGATCAATTTAAGATTCCAGGATTTTAAATCAATCAGTGACTATAATTCTGCCATGTTCCAAATAACATCTAAACTAAAGTTATGCGGACAAAAAGTCATTGATGTTGATATGTTGGAGAAAACCTTTTCTACAATGCATATTTCTAATACGCTGCTACAGCAGCGATATAGAGAAAAGGATTTTAAAAAATACTCCGACTTAATATCAGTATTATTAGTAGCTGAGCAAAATAATGACCTTTTGATGAAAAATCATAATCTGAGACCCACTGGTTCTAGTCCTTCGGTTTATGGTCCATCTGGCCATAATTTAGCCACTGAATCAAATACAATATACACTGACAATAGAAGGCATTTTAAACGTGGGCATTTTAATGGTCATAAAAACAAGTCACACTGAGAATACAAACAGGTCGAAAAACCAAATTACAAGGGCAAGGGCAAACAAAAGGCTCATCAAATAAATCGCCATCCAAAGTCCTCGGGAAAGTCGACTTGTTATAAATGTGGCATGACGGGGCACTGGGCTAATAAATGTCGCACGACTAAACATCTGGTGGAGTTATTTCAAGCTTCCATGAATCTGAACAAAGGCAAAAATGTAGAAGCTAATTATGTTAATGACACAACTCCACCTCTGCCAAAATTTGATGTGTCCGACTTCTTCGTGGATGATGTCATTATGGACGATGCTTTTGAAATAAACCAAAATGTCACAAAATAAAATATTAGACTCCGATCCTTATGTTGTAACATATTAGTTTTATGTACTTTTTCTTTCTTTCCCTTTCTTTTGTTTTTAAATAAATGTGTGTAATATATGTACTTTATGTTAAATTATATGCACAATTTGTGGTCAAGTTTATGTTTATTTACACATATTGAAGATATGAATCACTCAAATGATAAAGAGCTATGTCGGATAGACAGCGCCACAACGCACACCATTCTGAGAAATAAAATATTTTTTTCTCAAATGACTTTAGTTGAAGTTAAAGTCAATACAATATCAGGTGTTGCGAATCTCATTGAAGGCTCTAGGAAAGCATATGTGATACTCCCTATCGGGACCAAAACAATTATAAATGACGCTTTATTTTCCAGCAAATCGTGGAGGAATTTATTAAGTTTTAAAGATATGCGTCAAAATGGTTATCACATAGAAACCGTGAATGAAAACCAAAAGGAATATCTTTGTCTAACGACAACTAAATCTGGCACTAAATGTATTTGTGATAACATGCCAGCCTATTCCTCAGGACTATATTTCACTCATATTAGTCCATTCGAAATAAATTTGGTTTCTAACACAAAGTCAGATGATCAGAAAACATTCATATTGTGGCATGACCGTTTAGGTCACCCAAGCCATGTAATGATACATAAAATCATTAAGACTTCACTTGGACACCCATTAAAGAATATAAGGGTTCCAATATCAAGGGATTTTCCTCGTAAGGCCTGTTCTCTTGACAAAATGATCATCAGGCCCTTTATGAACAAAATTGCAACTGAATCACCTGCATTTTTAGAAAGGATTCAAGGAGATATTTGTGGGCTGATAGCCCCACCATGTGGACCATTTCGATATTTTATGGTGTTGATTGATGCTTCAATACGGTGGTCACATGTTAGTCTTTTATCGATTAGAAATTTAGCATTTGCTAAACTCTTCGCTCAAATTATACGATTAAGAGCTCATTTTCCGGATCATTCTATAAAGAGAATAATCCGACTTGATAATGCAGGAGAATTTATTTCCCAATCATTTAACGACTATTGTATGTAGATTGGGATTGATGTGGAGCACCCTGTCGCTCATGTCCGTACACAAAATGGTCTTGCTGAATCTTTGATTAAACGATTACAATTAATCGCTAGACCATTATTAATGAAGTGTAATTTACCTTCATCAGCTTGGGGACATGCTATTTTGCATGCAACAAATTTAATTCGGCTTAGACCGACTGCATATCATGAATATTCCTCAATGCAATTAGTTACTGGACAAGAGCCAAACTTAGCACACATAAAAATATTTGGTTGTGTTGTTTATGTTCCGATTGCTCCACCTCATCGTACAAAAATGGGCCCTCAAAGAAGGTTGGGAATTTATGTTGGATTTGAATCTCCCTCAATAATCAAATACCTTGAACCGGTGACTGGTGACTTATTCACCGCACGGTTCACTGACTGTCATTTCAATGAGATAGTATTCCCAACCTTAGAGGGAGAAACTAATAATCGGACCCAAGTATGA